AAAACGATTTTACACTCACGTTCTGTACACAACGCCAAACTTTGCCAAATGACGTTCTCGACGCGACTTGGCGCCACTGACAAAACGCCTTGGGCATGCGCACTATGCACCCTGCCTGGATATTTTACATCCGGTGGCGTCTTAGAGCCGTCGCGTCCTGGATCTTAAAGTCCCTAATTTCGCTGAAATACGCCCTCTGTGGCAGGCACGGTGGCCTCATGGTTAGTCCGCTCGACTCCGGGTTGAGTGGTCCGGGTTCGAGCCCTGGAATGGGACATTGTCCTGTGTTCTTGGGTAAGACACTTTACTCTCACATGTACAGTGTCTCTCTCCACTCAGGTGTATAAATGGGTACCGACGAATCTAATGCTGGGGGTAACCCTGCGATGGACTACCATCCCATCCAAGGGAAGCAGAAATATTCCTAGTCTACAGAAACCGGAGAAAAGCGCTGGCTTGATGGGCCCCTTGGCTAGTATGCAGACTCTACCCACCTCTTGTACACCCTCATCCTAAATTGGACATTATTACTAGATAAGTTTACCCCCGTAAAATGGGGGAACGTGGCAGTATCTTGTAAATGTACATGGGAGCTATCTTGTCTTTTCTTGTCTGTGTCCAGGCCCCAAACAGTGCGGGTAGGATCAGTTCAAGAATATACAGTTGCGGGTAATATAATGCCACGGATGCAAATAAAAAGTACTTCTCTTGAACTTCTTATGTTAGTAGCTCCTTTTAATTAATACGATAGACTGACAAAAGACAGGAATTCTTGGACAGAACTAAACGAACCTGTTAACCATACGTGAATCGGTTATAAACTCTTTATTCTTGTCAGATTGAGGACTTGTAAAAGACAAATCCGTTCAAACATGACATCTGTGACCTATTTTTTTATGGTCATGTATGATCTCTACTTTGTCTTCTTGCTGTCATTTGCTTGTTCAGATCGCCGAACATAGCCTGTTGCTTTATTTATTTGAGACTTAATAATCTTTTTGTAAATCTTCGAACGCTTTAGCATTCTCTTCAACAAAGGCAGGCTTATCTTTAAACGTTGAATGCGGAAGGCTACCGGAATGACATTGCGCCTTAATGGGAAACGACGGTAGGAGGGCCTGACTGGAAAGTGTGCACGCACTCGTTTCGTCAGTGTCGACTTATGTCTGGTCTTGAGTAAGCGACGAGGGTTAGTCTTACTTCCAAGCCAAGAACCTTTGGAAGCAGCTGCGGAAAAATAATTGAAATATGCGTGAGCTTGTAACAGAAGCATATTTAAAACTGCTCTTTGGCGCCACACCTGCGTAAATATACCACAGCTACTAACGTTAATGCTGGTCTGGTGTATTTTACAACATATAATATTAAACATTTTGTTTCACCATTTCTCTCTTGTGAAACCCCATAAAATGACCATCGTATGCTCTTCTCACCATTTTTTCTCTTCCTATGAAATTTCAAATCGAACTCTTAATGGCGTTATAATTACATTTGGCATATTTTTCTTACTAGCTAAGCTTAGAGTTCGTCAGCGCCAAGGCTGAAGGATGTTTAAAACCTGTTGAATTAATATTTTTTCAAAATAACTCGAGCATCGTGGTTGCTGGCTGAGGTTTGTTGAACCTTTTCTCTGAATTGTCTAAATAACAAATAACTAAAAGCGTACTTACGTATGGAACTTTTTTCGACAAACATGATGTCCGGGCCACTGTCGCCTCGTAAATCCACGCTGTGATCAAAGGAATATGGGTACCAGCCCCTCAACGGATGAAACCAGTTTCCTTAAGAAAATCAACAAAAAAGACCCGAGATTGCTGTCATCAGTTTTAATACATCACCGTTAAAACAAAATAGGTGTATTTGTTGCCATGGAAGCTTATATCATCGTGTTACCCTCAGACTGACGTGAAACTGAATATTCAGATTTAGACGGAAGTCGCGGTCAAGAAATTTTGTTAAGGCAAATTATGGTATGATACACAAAGATGTGCGAGACCTGAAAATAGTACACGGAAAAGTCATTGTTAATCGGCTCCTGTCCCCATTGATATATGATAATGAACTCACCAGTAAAATGACCATATCCTGGATATCCGTGTCCATAACCATAACCTGAACCATGTCGATATGCACGACGAAATACGTAATTACCTGGAACATGTCCAACATGCAGACCACGCCAAAGTCCATGTCTAAACTGGTGATGGTAACCATAACCCAAGCCGTGTCTTAAAGAGGTGTACCATGGACTACGAACAAAACCATGTGCGTAGGGATAGGGTGCACCATATCCTAAACCGAGCCTGTCACCGCGTCTCCACAGACCGTGTCGGTAGAACACGTGGTGCCCGAATGGACCAAGTGGTCCATAATGTTGTGGTAAATGAACTGGGTAGACGCCTTTTGGACTATAACCATGATAAACCGGGATGTTGAGCGGATGATGATGCATTAAGTGATGGATGTATTTCCCAGCTGCAGTTGGCACGCCATTAGGCATCAAGGCCACGTGACTCGCCGAGGGAAGCAACGAACTGATGCTCGGTGGGGCTGCTAGTGTGAAGATATCATGTTTCTTGTGTCTGGAAATCAGATTAGGTTTAATCGGCTTGTGAATAATTGCATTCCTCTTGGACTGGTGACCATGCTTTTCTGAAGGAGAAGAGGTTTTAGGATGTTGATACTCGTGAAGCTAAACCTATAAATACTTACCGACCGGTTGTCAATATCAGAAAATGTTATTTTCAGACAATGATTTGCATGCACGCACACCGGCACGATATACCAACCTGATAACTCTATATCGCTTAGCCGAAAAATAAATTCACTGATGTTGTCAAGCTTTTCACTAACATCTAAGTTTCCTCGTGAGGTGTAATGATACTTTTAGTTTTAATTATATGAAGAGCTCTCCCCTTTATGAATTTTAATTTTTCAAATTATATGAAACGGCAACGGTTATCGTATAAATAGGTTAATACTGACGCTTTTTCTTGAGCTGGTTTTGGACAATGTGTGAAGCGTGTCAGGCAACGATCATTGAAGAAACGGAAGTTATCGAAAATTCTTGTTAAAGCCCGATTGAGAAATATAAAAACGTGATTAATTTAGGAAAATAATACTTACCTATTGTTCGCTTTGGTTCAACTATTGTTGAAAACAGAGTGAGTAAGGCTACGTACTTTAAAAATTTCTCCTTCATGTTGTAAGCACAAGCTGGTTTCCTGTGATGTAGTTGATTTCAGTATGTCATTAACAAGATGTAAAGAAAATGAGACCCTTACAAGGTTTCATTACTTACGGAAATTCAATATGTCCTGTAGTTTTTTTGTTTCAATTGTTTTTCTTTGAAATTCAAAACAGTTATGGTCGCTCCCAAATTAACAATAAACGTTACAGGTGACAGATACAACCAAACATTCCGTGACTTTAACGTCAGAGACTTTGTTATTCGGGTTTTCAGTCAATAGGAACTCTTGATATGATTTGTGCCTTAAACAGAGGAACGTACTCGTACGATACTTTTGGCGATTGTAGCTCATTTTTCACTTAGTTCAAGATTAGAATTATCATGCAAAACTTGAGATCTCGACAATCTAGGAGGAACTCTGTTTGTTTTAATCCGGCTGAAATCCATAGCAGATTTGGAATCAACCAATCAGAAGGTCCATCTACTGGCCTGTTATCAACTGAACTGATATCCTATGTACGTTTAACGATATCAAGGATAGCTGAAGAAAAGAGCAAAGTCTATACATTATTGCTGGATCTTCCCCCAAAAAATATTACAAAAGTATTGCTTAACCTAAACCAAGACTGAGAAAGCGAGAACAGTTTGTGTAGCTTGCCAACCTCTGCGCCACGTACGTCACGTCCCAAAACAATTCATGATCAAAACCGATAAAATTGGAGGAAGTTTTGTTCAGTACGTAATTCAAACTTTTAGACACAGTTTGTTTTCAATCCATTACCAATCAAGAAAAAGAAAGTAAAAATAACTTTGCCATCAAAAGGGAAACACTTTTTGACTAAATGATTCAAGTTAACCTGAGTTTGAGTCAAAATCCCTACGATTAGGAAGATTAATCAGGCTTGTCAAGGTCATAATCTTAATCATGAATTGTAAGACTTCCTCTAAAGAATTTATCTGGACGTGACAAAGATGTTCGTTTTACCTCTTGAGGGTTAAAAAAATCGTGGTTTTAGTTCCGGTTAAAGTGTCCTCGGGTCTACCATGATTTAGCGCCTATTTAGGGGTGCCTCGATGTTTGGACTCGTTTTGATGACTTTCGCCGAAATTACTAAGCGGTATTTAGAGCCATTGAATTTTTTTTATAGTATCGCTAACTCGCTTAATGACACGTGACACCTGGGAGTGTTCCACAGGCAATTGACTGCTGCCTTGAAAATTAATAATAAATAACCAACTTTTATTTCATAGATTTTAGGTCACCATCTCCTTTTGCTAAACTATAAACGAATTCATGATGATAGCCAGCCAGTACACTACTAGCTCCTAACTGAATAACGAAAGCTCTAAGTTGAACATATTGGAAAACTACTTGCGACTGATACTTACATTGACGAGTAAATTAAATGCAAAGCTCTTGATCAGTTTGTGATAATTAAATTTGAACATTTTAATTCTTCGTTATGGGACGTGCAAAAGTTTTAATGAACCGTTAGCTAGCCGTTCCCTAAAGCTTGGAAACTCATTTCAATGTTTCAAATGGAACAAAATGTCACGTGTCACATGCCATACAACTCCAGTTACGTCAGTAACAGAATAAACTGAGAGACATTCTAAACTACATGAGTACAGACTGAGAGACATTCTAAACTACATGAGTACAGACTGAGAGACATTCTAAACTACATGAGTACAGACTGAGAGACATTCTAAACTACATGAGTACAGACTGAGAGACATTCTAAACTACATGAGTACAGACTGAGAGACATTCTAAACTACATGAGTACAGACTGAGAGACATTCTAAACTACATGAGTACAGACTGAGAGACATTCTAAACTACATGAGTACAGACTGAGAGACATTCTAAACTACATGAGTACAGACTGAGAGACATTCTAAACTACATGAGTACAGACTGAGAGACATTCTAAACTACATGAGTACAGACTGAGAGACATTCTAAACTACATGAGTACAGACTGAGAGACATTCTAAACTACATGAGTACAGACTGAGAGACATTCTAAACTACATGAGTACAGACTGAGAGACATTCTAAACTACATGAGTACAGACTGAGAGACATTCTAAACTACATGAGTACAGACTGAGAGACATTCTAAACTACATGAGTACAGACTGAGAGACATTCTAAACTACATGAGTACAGACTGAGAGACATTCTAAACTACATGAGTACAGACTGAGAGACATTCTAAACTACATGAGTACAGACTGAGAGACATTCTAAACTACATGAGTACAGACTGAGAGACATTCTAAACTACATGAGTACAGACTGAGAGACATTCTAAACTACATGAGTACAGACTGAGAGACATTCTAAACTACATGAGTACAGACTGAGAGACATTCTAAACTACATGAGTACAGACTGAGAGACATTCTAAACTACATGAGTACAGACTGAGAGACATTCTAAACTACATGAGTACAGACTGAGAGACATTCTAAACTACATGAGTACAGACTGAGAGACATTCTAAACTACATGAGTACAGACTGAGAGACATTCTAAACTACATGAGTACAGACTGAGAGACATTCTAAACTACATGAGTACAGACTGAGAGACATTCTAAACTACATGAGTACAGACTGAGAGACATTCTAAACTACATGAGTACAGACTGAGAGACATTCTAAACTACATGAGTACAGACTGAGAGACATTCTAAACTACATGAGTACAGACTGAGAGACATTCTAAACTACATGAGTACAGACTGAGAGACATTCTAAACTACATGAGTACAGACTGAGAGACATTCTAAACTACATGAGTACAGACTGAGAGACATTCTAAACTACATGAGTACAGACTGAGAGACATTCTAAACTACATGAGTACAGACTGAGAGACATTCTAAACTACATGAGTACAGACTGAGAGACATTCTAAACTACATGAGTACAGACTGAGAGACATTCTAAACTACATGAGTACAGACTGAGAGACATTCTAAACTACATGAGTACAGACTGAGAGACATTCTAAACTACATGAGTACAGACTGAGAGACATTCTAAACTACATGAGTACAGACTGAGAGACATTCTAAACTACATGAGTACAGACTGAGAGACATTCTAAACTACATGAGTACAGACTGAGAGACATTCTAAACTACATGAGTACAGACTGAGAGACATTCTAAACTACATGAGTACAGACTGAGAGACATTCTAAACTACATGAGTACAGACTGAGAGACATTCTAAACTACATGAGTACAGACTGAGAGACATTCTAAACTACATGAGTACAGACTGAGAGACATTCTAAACTACATGAGTACAGACTGAGAGACATTCTAAACTACATGAGTACAGACTGAGAGACATTCTAAACTACATGAGTACAGACTGAGAGACATTCTAAACTACATGAGTACAGACTGAGAGACATTCTAAACTACATGAGTACAGACTGAGAGACATTCTAAACTACATGAGTACAGACTGAGAGACATTCTAAACTACATGAGTACAGACTGAGAGACATTCTAAACTACATGAGTACAGACTGAGAGACATTCTAAACTACATGAGTACAGACTGAGAGACATTCTAAACTACATGAGTACAGACTGAGAGACATTCTAAACTACATGAGTACAGACTGAGAGACATTCTAAACTACATGAGTACAGACTGAGAGACATTCTAAACTACATGAGTACAGACTGAGAGACATTCTAAACTACATGAGTACAGACTGAGAGACATTCTAAACTACATGAGTACAGACTGAGAGACATTCTAAACTACATGAGTACAGACTGAGAGACATTCTAAACTACATGAGTACAGACTGAGAGACATTCTAAACTACATGAGTACAGACTGAGAGACATTCTAAACTACATGAGTACAGACTGAGAGACATTCTAAACTACATGAGTACAGACTGAGAGACATTCTAAACTACATGAGTACAGACTGAGAGACATTCTAAACTACATGAGTACAGACTGAGAGACATTCTAAACTACATGAGTACAGACTGAGAGACATTCTAAACTACATGAGTACAGACTGAGAGACATTCTAAACTACATGAGTACAGACTGAGAGACATTCTAAACTACATGAGTACAGACTGAGAGACATTCTAAACTACATGAGTACAGACTGAGAGACATTCTAAACTACATGAGTACAGACTGAGAGACATTCTAAACTACATGAGTACAGACTGAGAGACATTCTAAACTACATGAGTACAGACTGAGAGACATTCTAAACTACATGAGTACAGACTGAGAGACATTCTAAACTACATGAGTACAGACTGAGAGACATTCTAAACTACATGAGTACAGACTGAGAGACATTCTAAACTACATGAGTACAGACTGAGAGACATTCTAAACTACATGAGTACAGACTGAGAGACATTCTAAACTACATGAGTACAGACTGAGAGACATTCTAAACTACATGAGTACAGACTGAGAGACATTCTAAACTACATGAGTACAGACTGAGAGACATTCTAAACTACATGAGTACAGACTGAGAGACATTCTAAACTACATGAGTACAGACTGAGAGACATTCTAAACTACATGAGTACAGACTGAGAGACATTCTAAACTACATGAGTACAGACTGAGAGACATTCTAAACTACATGAGTACAGACTGAGAGACATTCTAAACTACATGAGTACAGACTGAGAGACATTCTAAACTACATGAGTACAGACTGAGAGACATTCTAAACTACATGAGTACAGACTGAGAGACATTCTAAACTACATGAGTACAGACTGAGAGACATTCTAAACTACATGAGTACAGACTGAGAGACATTCTAAACTACATGAGTACAGACTGAGAGACATTCTAAACTACATGAGTACAGACTGAGAGACATTCTAAACTACATGAGTACAGACTGAGAGACATTCTAAACTACATGAGTACAGACTGAGAGACATTCTAAACTACATGAGTACAGACTGAGAGACATTCTAAACTACATGAGTACAGACTGAGAGACATTCTAAACTACATGAGTACAGACTGAGAGACATTCTAAACTACATGAGTACAGACTGAGAGACATTCTAAACTACATGAGTACAGACTGAGAGACATTCTAAACTACATGAGTACAGACTGAGAGACATTCTAAACTACATGAGTACAGACTGAGAGACATTCTAAACTACATGAGTACAGACTGAGAGACATTCTAAACTACATGAGTACAGACTGAGAGACATTCTAAACTACATGAGTACAGACTGAGAGACATTCTAAACTACATGAGTACAGACTGAGAGACATTCTAAACTACATGAGTACAGACTGAGAGACATTCTAAACTACATGAGTACAGACTGAGAGACATTCTAAACTACATGAGTACAGACTGAGAGACATTCTAAACTACATGAGTACAGACTGAGAGACATTCTAAACTACATGAGTACAGACTGAGAGACATTCTAAACTACATGAGTACAGACTGAGAGACATTCTAAACTACATGAGTACAGACTGAGAGACATTCTAAACTACATGAGTACAGACTGAGAGACATTCTAAACTACATGAGTACAGACTGAGAGACATTCTAAACTACATGAGTACAGACTGAGAGACATTCTAAACTACATGAGTACAGACTGAGAGACATTCTAAACTACATGAGTACAGACTGAGAGACATTCTAAACTACATGAGTACAGACTGAGAGACATTCTAAACTACATGAGTACAGACTGAGAGACATTCTAAACTACATGAGTACAGACTGAGAGACATTCTAAACTACATGAGTACAGACTGAGAGACATTCTAAACTACATGAGTACAGACTGAGAGACATTCTAAACTACATGAGTACAGACTGAGAGACATTCTAAACTACATGAGTACAGACTGAGAGACATTCTAAACTACATGAGTACAGACTGAGAGACATTCTAAACTACATGAGTACAGACTGAGAGACATTCTAAACTACATGAGTACAGACTGAGAGACATTCTAAACTACATGAGTACAGACTGAGAGACATTCTAAACTACATGAGTACAGACTGAGAGACATTCTAAACTACATGAGTACAGACTGAGAGACATTCTAAACTACATGAGTACAGACTGAGAGACATTCTAAACTACATGAGTACAGACTGAGAGACATTCTAAACTACATGAGTACAGACTGAGAGACATTCTAAACTACATGAGTACAGACTGAGAGACATTCTAAACTACATGAGTACAGACTGAGAGACATTCTAAACTACATGAGTACAGACTGAGAGACATTCTAAACTACATGAGTACAGACTGAGAGACATTCTAAACTACATGAGTACAGACTGAGAGACATTCTAAACTACATGAGTACAGACTGAGAGACATTCTAAACTACATGAGTACAGACTGAGAGACATTCTAAACTACATGAGTACAGACTGAGAGACATTCTAAACTACATGAGTACAGACTGAGAGACATTCTAAACTACATGAGTACAGACTGAGAGACATTCTAAACTACATGAGTACAGACTGAGAGACATTCTAAACTACATGAGTACAGACTGAGAGACATTCTAAACTACATGAGTACAGACTGAGAGACATTCTAAACTACATGAGTACAGACTGAGAGACATTCTAAACTACATGAGTACAGACTGAGAGACATTCTAAACTACATGAGTACAGACTGAGAGACATTCTAAACTACATGAGTACAGACTGAGAGACATTCTAAACTACATGAGTACAGACTGAGAGACATTCTAAACTACATGAGTACAGACTGAGAGACATTCTAAACTACATGAGTACAGACTGAGAGACATTCTAAACTACATGAGTACAGACTGAGAGACATTCTAAACTACATGAGTACAGACTGAGAGACATTCTAAACTACATGAGTACAGACTGAGAGACATTCTAAACTACATGAGTACAGACTGAGAGACATTCTAAACTACATGAGTACAGACTGAGAGACATTCTAAACTACATGAGTACAGACTGAGAGACATTCTAAACTACATGAGTACAGACTGAGAGACATTCTAAACTACATGAGTACAGACTGAGAGACATTCTAAACTACATGAGTACAGACTGAGAGACATTCTAAACTACATGAGTACAGACTGAGAGACATTCTAAACTACATGAGTACAGACTGAGAGACATTCTAAACTACATGAGTACAGACTGAGAGACATTCTAAACTACATGAGTACAGACTGAGAGACATTCTAAACTACATGAGTACAGACTGAGAGACATTCTAAACTACATGAGTACAGACTGAGAGACATTCTAAACTACATGAGTACAGACTGAGAGACATTCTAAACTACATGAGTACAGACTGAGAGACATTCTAAACTACATGAGTACAGACTGAGAGACATTCTAAACTACATGAGTACAGACTGAGAGACATTCTAAACTACATGAGTACAGACTGAGAGACATTCTAAACTACATGAGTACAGACTGAGAGACATTCTAAACTACATGAGTACAGACTGAGAGACATTCTAAACTACATGAGTACAGACTGAGAGACATTCTAAACTACATGAGTACAGACTGAGAGACATTCTAAACTACATGAGTACAGACTGGACAATCTTCTGCATCAACTGGCTTCATTTGACGAGAATAGGTACATGTATACGCGATATATAATTTAACCCCAAAACTCTGATGATCGTAAGTGTTTCATGCGTACCAGTAATTACTTTCATGCTATACATGTACACTGCAAATTTTACTTCAGCGATTTTTTTATGATATGTTAAATCTGTAAAACAATTTGAAGAGCTTAAAAGATGGTATTGTATGATTGGTACGTTAGATTCCAGTTCCAGCTCGAGAGGTCTGACCATGGTCGTTGTTTTGTGTTTTTTTTGCAAATACTTAATCCACCCAGCGACTGACGAAAAATAAGGGAATACCAGGAATGGGTGTGTCCATTCCAAGGGTGTAGCGATATTCTAAATAATTTAGCACTGAGTCAGCACAAATGCAGCTGTTGTTAGATCAAAAACGAAGATTGGACGATTCCGTCCTGAAAAAGTGACTTTGAAATTGATTGGTAGCTACTGCTTTGTAACTTTCTTTGGCGCAGATTTAGATTTCATAGCTTTTATAAGTTTCTTTCTCTCAAGTTCTTCTTCTTTCCTTATCTTTTCCATCCTTTCTGCGACATCCTGCATTGGAGAACTGTGTAAGTTTGCTGCGTTGTCCAAAATCTGATCTTCGACCATGGTAGTATCAACGGCTGTAAGGAGATTAGACCGTATCAGTTAGAATTTGTTGTGTATACATTCTATTCGACGGAAAACAATCAAAGTAGATTCTAGAGAGGAAGATGATATAATAAACGAGCAACTGTCCCAGTGCGTATTTCAGTCGATTTTTTCGTACACAACACCAGTCCACTTCTCCTTGCAAAGGTTATGTAGTTATCTGATCATGTTATTACCTTAAATCCTCTTTTTCTACAGAAACGTTTGAATTGCTTACTAGGTAATTAACACGCGTTATTTGGAATATAATATTTTAATAAGGAACTCATTAGAAAAAAAATGTTTCACTTAAAGAGTTGATGTATGTAATGTAATAGGCCATTTCCGAGTTACCTTGTGCCTCTATGAGTTCAGAACGAGTCCTCGTGCAAAACTGAGTTTGATTTGAATGAAAATGAACCTTTAGGGGAAACACATCTTCATATGAATGGTTTCGGACTAGGAATCGTTTTGACACAGAGGCAAAAGACAACTTGGAAATGGCCAATTTATTCTTACGATAAACGCCCGTCCCATGTCCATCTAGAAACATCGGCCCCGCGTTATGATAATTATGTACATCCGTAGCATGGTTCATAAACGCCGGGTACTGTGGAGGTATTATTGGTCGTGGGATAAGGGTTCCTGTGACAGGCTCCTGATACATCCCGTCGTTCGGGTCCGACAGGAAAACAGGGCCAGACACCTGCATATGGGGCCAGTGAGTATGATAACCATGACGAAGACCCCATGGTATTGTACGATGGTATAAACCTTGGTGTGGGTAATAGCCATGGATCCCCGGATGGAAAAGACCGGGAAGGGGATGAAAGATGTGAGGGCCCAGAAACATGGGATATCCATGCTGTAGAGGTCTTGGCAGACCATGAGGTCCAATGAATAATTCGTTTTCAGCATTCGCTGGTGGGAGGTAAGGTCCCTCCAGGATTGAGGTCGCGACTGGTGGAACCGCAACCACTTCTTGTCGTCTGCTGCTGATGTAAGGTTTCAGTGGATACTTGGCACCAAGATTTTTGTTCCCTGACAGATTAATTAATTACAATGAACGAATAAGTTCAAAATTTGATTATGGTTTTAAGATTAGAATAATTGCCATGACCTAAGATTGTTATCTGGTATCACAAAAGCCAATTATTGTACATATTAGATATAAAATCTACACTATCGTAACTTAAGTTAATTGAGAACAATCAATTTAGTCCATGCGAATCTTTGGCCCTTGGTCTAAAAACTTCCGCTTTTTGTCAGCTGTATTTTCAGGTCGCCCGCTCCTTCAAGTATTGCTTTAATACTTTTTTGGTTGCATCTGTAGAATTTCTTTATATTTCTCGCCACTTATAACTCTTGTCACATGTTTCTGTAGTTTGTGTTCGTCCAAATGGGATACTCGACATAAATACACCATAGCTGTACGTCCGCGCTGTACACCTCACATAATAACCTCGGTGACCTTGTGATGGTGTGCTACACATCACACGATAAGCACAATTATCTGTAACCTCGTAGAATAGATGACTGAAATTCACCGAAAGTTAAGAGATACTCAAACGTCTTAATCGATCGATAGAATTACAATCAGCAAAACGTCAGCCAGTGTACTAGTTTTTGTTACGGCAGTGAAGTTCTATGAACTCTATCCCACCAGAGGGCTGTTGACCTGATCTCGACACTCAGCCATGAGGAAAAGTTAGTAATACGGCGCTAAATCGTAGTTTGAGTTACCGGCAAGTTAAAAATTTCTCTGAAAACACTACAGAAAAACATACCTGTTGCCGGTCTGGAAAACGCTTCATGGTCAAGGAAAACAATAAAGCTGAAAAGCCCACTTACAAAAGCTAAATTCACCATAGCTACCTAAATCAAACAGCAAAACTTAGTATTTCTTTCCATAACAAAAAATTGCATGGTAAACGAAGAGTGAAATAAACACTTAACCCGACTGATCTCTGTAGTTCTTCAAACAGGGAACGAGCTTAGTTTGTGTTTGCCACCGGCGAAATAAGTGTAAACTCTTGTGGTTAATACATTTCCTTTAAAGGGAGTTTACGAAATGGAATTAATCCTAACTTTTGAAAACAAAAGATTGCTGAAACGCATCGTCAGCGGATCTAAATCCTAAATGAGACTCATTTTGATTTCAGTTTGCAGTACTGATTTCCCGACGGATAAATTGTAGGGAGTGGATCTTTTATCCCTAAGGTTGTGGATCTGTAGATCTATAACTGGAATAGTATAACAGGATAATCCAACATAAACAAAACAGACGAATAACAAGAAACCTCACCAGGTGAATATCATGAGGCACTTTCACTTGTGAAATAACTTTGCCGTGGTTTAGAGAGCGTGTAAGCTATAAATAAATCACTGTCGCTAAGTACTCTATGCGAGTGCATAGTATTATTCCTCGGCACCTTTAGAAAAGGAAAGCCAATTTGTTTTGGAAAACAAAACAAAACAAAACAAAACAAAAACAGGCAATGGTGGAGTTCGCAAAAAAATTCTTACTATGTCAGCTTTGTGTTATACTTTTCAAAGATCAGAAGAGACAATTATCGTACCCACAATTCCCATTGGGTTATTCTGGATTGGCGGGGGCGCGATGGTTAGGGCTTAGAATTCAGTGGTCCAGGTTCGAGCCCCGGTGAGGGTCCTTGTGTTGGGTTCATTAGCAAAACACTTCACTCTCGCTCTTCCTCTCTCCACTCCTGGAGTTGTATAAATGTGTACTGGCGAATTTAAAGCGTACCCTGTGATGGACTACCATCACATCTAGGGGAAGTAGAAACACCTCTAGTTTCCACTCCGACATAAACGTGGGTGGCATGTGGCAATTATGGCCTAATGCCAACTTTAACTTTAGCCAGCTGGAAGCGAACGTCATTGGTATGCCCTATTCTGAATTATAAACTCTTAACGCTGGAATTTGCAACAGTTTTCAAGTACAGTTTCAGTTAAAGTTGAATGGAAAAGCAAATGCTATACTTTATTGCAGACATTCAAACTTAGTTTATCGCAAAAATTACCTTATATTTTTGCTGATTTGCATAATTTTCGGTTCTGTATTTTTGCATCGACTCTATAAAATATATCTTCGAGACGTTTCATTGAAACAACAACAGGGAGTCCATATCTCTGTGTTTCAGGTTCTCTAGTGTGGTAGACCGTCAGTATCAGCCTCGAGGGTGTTCTACAGCGATTAATGGAAAGAAGATAAAAGGATCCTTTGAGTCATAGCTGTTGTCTCTGTTCAGGATTCTGTAGGCGGGGCCAGTCAAGTATGACTTTTCATCCTCCCGTGCAGTGGTCTCGTGGGGCACGCCGCGATCATCCGTCATAACTGGAACGGTAATAAGGCCAAGTTTGGCTCCTAGAGCCAAAGAGCAAGAGCAGGAGTAAAAGATCTTGAAAAACACTCTTTCAAGCCGGGGCTGCGAACTTATTTAAAATCCTAGCAGAACAGCCTTCGAGTCACCAGTGAGTGTAAAACAAACAACAGTTCAGTCTCCTGAAAGTTTGGTAAGGTAACTAAGTTATCAATTTGAATTAACTGAAAAAGAATTTCAATCATAAAAGCTGCAATATGGGCATGCTTAAAGCTGATCGTTATACAAAACAAATGACAAATGGCATCAAATTTAGCGCCTCCCCTTCGACTTTCCGCCTTCTAGTCTGTAAATATGACCGTCCGATTCAATTAGTCCCATGCCAAGAGTGAACCATTTAAACTCGTTTTCGTGTTATTAGGGCTATCATCTTTCGACATTTTTGCTCGTTTTGGAAAAAATAAAATAAAATTCGACTTTTTGTCATAATATACTGTTTTAAAAGCCAATTGAACTTTTAGGATCTTAGGGAAAGTCACGTTAAACCAATTATGACTTGTCTTAAAATTGATCAAATTAAGTCTATCCTCAATCCTAAATTGAAATTCATACGTTTAAAGGGTTCAAGTATTGGATAACTGTAGTGAGTCAACAGGGTGATAAACCATGTATGGTTGGTTCGTTGTCACAATTAACCTGTATCGTTAAACCATAACAATGACAGGTTAAGCTTTTTATAACGAAACACGAACGTTCTTATAACAATAGTTTCTGTTGGGCAGGACCCGTCTTGCTTTTACATAATGGCTGTGTTAAGGAAACGCTAGTCTCCTTTGAATTGACATAACAGTAAAATGCGGGTTGTCACACTACGAGAAGTCGCCAAACAACAGCGATTTTGTTTCCATTTAAGTTTATTATACCTCTCAATAATTTTTTTAAGCGTATAATATGGTATGCTCCCAATGAAATCTTTCTTCTGCTGAAGCATACAGTCAGTATTTGTCAGCTTGAGACAAATATACTTCACTTTGGCAAACAAAGTAGATTTGTGTAGTGTTCAATAAGTACCGCTTTTTAGATACGGATGGTTGACTATAAATAAACTTACCTTCTTTTATCCCTTTCCTTGGCGGTCTTCCATTCGCATCTTCAAATGCCAAGACTATTAGGAGTAGCGAAATTTTAAAAATGTTTGCCATCACATTTCCTTGACCTCAATATATTAACGGATTTTTATATTCAATACTATGTTTCACTAAATTGATAAAAAATCACTGATAGGTATAACCACTCAGAGGACTGGAAAGTAGAAAACGACTTCTATTAATAATTAAACCTAGAGGATCGACATTTCATTCTGCAAGGTTAAACCGGCGTCTGCTGTTATTTGATAACATGGACATACATTTCAAATAAAATTTCGGACATACTTCCAAATGATACTCCAACAACCGACTAGAGGGAGTTTGGGTTGCACTGCGATAATTCAAAACCATTTTGCCTCAGTGGTAGATAACCTTGAGCTACCTTTACCAGTCAAGATGGCTATAGCTTGGTTTTTTTCCCAAGAGTTCATATATCCATCTTGGATTCCGTGACGTTCCTATGAGCCCAGAAAAATGCGTCCTTGAGCACTATAACTAAAAGTAATAATGAGGTGCAAAAATGCACTTGCACTTAAACTTCGCTTTACAAATAGGTCCGCAGCGCGTACTTTATTGAACTTTCGTACATGATATTATTTGCGAGTTTTTGTACGAAAATAAAAAATTTC